TGAGAAAAAGCAGAATGAGGATGCTGATAATATTGATATGACAGATTTTGTTAACGAATTAGTGCACACAGGCAGTGAAGACAGTATCGACTGGGATAAAAGCTACGATAGCGAACACAGCACAGGCGTCGACGGTAATAGCGGTAACGATGGCGGTGATGGCGGTGGCAGTGATGAGGCTGGAGATAACATACCTGACGAACGCGGTCTGCCGAAATTGGTACCCAATAAGGCATTCTGGGACCGTCCGACAAGACGCGAACATGAGTATGATCATACACCTGAGAACATTCTAAAAAGGTGTATCTGGGAGGATGAACTTTTTCCAGATAGAAATTTCCAAGCTATGCTCAGGCAAAGTTGTTTTGCGATACTCTTGCTGCCAAAATGGGAGTGGTGCTATGTAGCGGCGCATTCTTGAAGCGAGGGAAAGGGTTATTGAGTTGCAATAGAAGCGGTACTACCGCAAAATTAGCGAGGCGCCAAGAAGTGAGGAGAAGAAAGTAGAGCAGGAAACTAACCGAGCTTCAGTTCATCACACTAGGCATTCCATAAACCATAAAATGTGGTTGCAAATTTAAGGTAAGCTAGTTACGCCTAGCATTATCGCGCATCGCTGCTATGACTAACTTAATATTGTTTTATTCATTCAGCTTAACTTTGTGCATACGGAAGCACCGCCAGGTTTTGAGAAAACTCCATTTAGGGCTGATTATAAATATGACGGTTGGGTCGCTCCAAGCGCCCATCGTATAATACTCACTGGTGGATGCAATTCCAGTGATGAGCATGCAACTGTATCGTATCATTTGTAGTCAGTGGGAAAATATTCAAATGGGACAACTTCGGAAGCGAGGTAAGTAACTAAGTTGTTCAGAAAAGGTGTATTTGAGAAGTGGACTATATAAAAGGTGTTCAACAGGGGTGTGAGAGAGAGATGGGCGAAAGAGGTGTGCAAAAGAGGTGAACTCTAATACAATTCATTAACAAGTTATATATTTGCAGACGAAAAGCGTCCTAGTGACCATGGTCTTGCGGAAATGACCGACGAACGAGTTCCGAAAGTACATACTGTCGCTGCATCCAACGGAAGTATCCGTCACAGCCCAGATTAAACATATACATAACATCAGAATCGTAAGTTCTACCATGGGTCATTTTTTATAACACACCATACTTGGTTTAGATCACCTGTCACGCGCTAAAACTTATATACTTCCATGTATATTCAGAACGCAGTCAAACACGCAATAAGATTTGAAAGATGAGCCAGCAACTCTTTGACGACGCTAAGACCTTGCCATCTTATATTAAGAGGTCCAGCACTTTTGCACTTGGCAAGGATATATCGGACGAGTGCATCGCGGAGTTTGTGAAGATGACGGAATGTGAAGAAGCTATGAATGGGCAAGTAATTTATAGTTAAAAACAATAAACTATACTATAACAATACTTCTATACAATATATAGTATCCACTCTAATGCTCCCCTCCAATGCTACCCCCTAATGCTCACCTCTAATGCCCACCTCTAATCCTCACCTCTATCCGCACCTCTAATGCTATCCTTTAATATTCACCTCTAATCCTCCCCTCAGGAGCGACTTTCTCAACTTCTTCAAGTTGGTGCAGTCCATGAACCCTAATCTATAAGTACGAACTCTGCGCGACAAAGAGACCAACGTTTGGAAATGTGTTCTTTGGATGACGAATATTGTGCGAAAAAAATAGCGTAACTTTGGTCGTATAGTCAGTATGCATGCCCGCCGTAAGGGGAACAACGAGTGGGGGTGGCAAGGACCGGGCAACGACGGGAATATCAAGTACTTCGGTGCCATGCTGTTCTATATGGAGACGAAGGAAATACATAGGTTTGCACTAGTTTCTCTTCAGAAATCCATGGGCGAGGGGGCGTGTTACAGGCGCCGTTCAAAACTGAGTTAGTTTTCGCCAACGGGTTTTTGAGCCAGTCCAACCTTAGAGAAGGCCAGTTTTATTTCGCAGTTAGGTAGTGTTTATGGTACTATCAGTAAGATTCTTGGTGGTTACCACAGTGGGAGGGTGAAAGAGGCGTTAGACAAAGCTATGCACGCAACAACGCAATACCTATGTGACCAATACCTTGATATTGTCATTAGTATACTGACAGGAAAGAATGCTGCCACAGGGGTGAGATTCTTCAAAAAGATGAAGCAAAATAGTCTACACATGTGTGATTGGGGTCTAGCTGACAAGTTCACAATGAGACTTATAAAGGATCACAGATGGGTGAATCTTCAAACTCACATCTGGATGCGTGGTTTAAGTTAATGGTACTTATAATGCCTAGACTTTTCAATGGCATATGTAAAATCGCTAGCCAAATGCATACACACACTAGACTAGCAAAAATCGAATATGCCATGATATACAACACAGGGGGGTGGGGTGAAGGCAATAAGCCGATTTATTCATATCGCACAGTGCCGACAGTGGGGCACCC